TTCCGGACTAAACGACTGGTATATTTACACCATTCAATAGGCGTGTCGGGTTTGCCGAGCGGTTTCCGATGCAGTCGCTTTCTTTCGCATCTGTTATAGGTAATTTGTGGTATAGGCGGGTCTCTTCTCAATATCGATATTCATCAATAATTTCACACAAAACAAAATAATTAATGTAAAAACTGCTTTATGCAAGAAGAAACATAAGTATGTGTCTTTTTTTATTTGACACCGTTTTATTCTGACATTTATTAACTACATGCTCTAAAATATATTTCTTCTCATAATATTTATGTTTAAATATCAATAATAGATAGTCACAAATACAAAAAAATTAAAATATTTTGTTTTGTGTGAAATTATTGATGAATATCGATTTATATTATTCGATATTGTTTTATTTTTGAAATTCACCTACCTACTATTCTTCAAATATGACCAACTACCAATTTTGTCAGCAAAAACTCTCAAACCAAACCCAAATTAAAAATTAATTTAAAAGGAAAGCGAAATATAAATTTCAATGTCTTATTCATACTAAATACCATATGATCGAAAAAAAAACGGCGTCAGCAATGGCCACGAAATTAAGATCGCTGTCATTTTATATGAAAAATTATATGGGGAATATCATCGATCGTCATTTCCCAGTCAACTGGACGCCGTTTTTTTCTTTTCGGTCATACAGTATCTTTCATTTTAGCGTTTTATTATTAATAAGATTATATACCTACTAAAAATTATAAACAAAATTTACCTGTTATTGTGGAAAAATCTCAACAAACAAACTTTTAAAACGGAATACTTCAATAAAAGTCAATTGGATGAACAACAAACTGTGATATCGCGCGTTGCTTATAAATGACACTACATATAAATAAATATATGCTATCGTATTATTGTACGCGTCCTGTTCTGTTGTAAAGTGACCCTTAAATATTAATTGTGTCGGCCATATTTCTTCTCATATACAGCAGAGATTTTTTCGATACACTAGCTTCGAGTTGAATTGGTTTTAGTTGATTTCTATGAATCAAATAAAAAAATAATTGTTGTTAAACTATATTTGATATCAATTAAACTTTTAGTTACGTAATTGAGGGCGCCATTTTTAAATTCATTGTTGCCAACCATGGATATATTCGGCGCCGGACTGACTAACTGGAATTTAAATTTCGCGCTGGGGATGCAGTTGGTAGCTCTGCTGTAAAAAATGTCAAGTTGCCGCATTTATTTCTTTATTTCCTGACATTGTCATTCGTTTTGACACTTTATTTTGACACACTGTTGTGATACTTTAAGCACAGATTATACAGATTATAATCTTTGTTTTTTCTTTATTGTTTTTCGTGGTTCCAATTTTCGGAATCGGGCACTAGTTAGGTGATTAGTTTGCGCACATAGCACGCCCACTTATGGCCTCTAAAATTGTGCACAGCGCCTGACCGGCACAGTTATTAGAGAGATATCGGAAAACCGAATAGCGTCATCCAGTATTTACGCGTACCTTATCATGGTTACGATATGCGCGAGTCAATTTTTTACGCAACACCCGCTAATAACGTTACCGCCTGACGTAATTTGCGGATCAATTACACCAAGCGCTCTTTCTAAATAACCTCTGATAACGTTTAAAAATTGCTTAAATGGGCATGTGCGGGTATTTGACAACCGGAGCCGGCCGGCGAGATTTTTTTATTTTAGGTTATGTTTCAATTGTTTTGAATTATTGCTTTAGTTTTATTAGGTAATTTGATATTTAAGTAGCTGGGATTAGTTTTAATTAAATAAATATGGCCCAAAATATGGATTCCACCTCTTCCAATACTAAAGAACCTATAAAGAGTCTTTATAAAGGTGTTTTCTAAAGGTTTACAGCAGATGACGACTTAGCCCTTCTAAGAGAATTTGTTGCTTGCTGCCCTAAACCCACTGGCAGACGTTGAACAATAAAGCACTGGAAATAAGCACTTTAGCCCTTTGGTTTTAAAATACCTAGTAAACAAAACAATTTCAAAGTTTTAAATTCAAAGTTAGGTTAAGTTTAAATAGCGGACGCGACGCGATCAGAATTCTTTCCGATCCGATAACTATAAAAATGAAGAGAGTTAATACCACCTCACGTAAAGAAAATAACACCTGGCCTTATTAACGTCCATGCGCGCTATTCGGTTTAGCGATATCTCTCTATTACGCTGTTTATTGTTATTTTACGCGAGTTTATTTTTGCGCACAGGAAATTTTACTCGTTTGCACATCGTCATAAAAAACAATTTTCGTACCACGAAGGGATAAGATTTTTATCTGTATACATATAGAATACCTAATCTGTGGTATTATTAACACCAGTTTTTGTTTTCTTTACTTGCCAAATTTGTAAAATTGTCATAGACTGATACTGTTTACTGAGAACGGTTTCTTTTACCTGAGAGGTAAGTCTGACAGGTAAAAGATTACGTGTGGGGGAGGCTTTATTATAAAGTACGATCTATCTTGTTTGTGTGGTATGTGTATTAACTCTTGTTCTCAAATTTGTATACTTTGTTTAAATTAATTTAGAATAATTTGTTTTAACTGAAATTTATTATAATTATTCTGTCTCTTTATTTATTTTTATTTTTAATATTTGAATAGCATCAGAAAGAGAACTTCAACTCGTGTGCAGTGTATATTGAAAATCATACACATAAATTAGAAAGCAATTATTAGCAATTTTTTATTTTATCATAAAATTCATAAAACTTATCTGATTAAATCAACATTAATTACATTTTTGAAAGAAAATGATTAGACAGTTATTAAATGTCATAAAAGTCCGATTAAATAACTCCCTCGTTTGAAAGCAAGTCGTTATGTTACTTAAAAAATACTTTTGTGAATACATTTTCTATTATTTGTATTGATTGCTACTTGTATTATATAAATTAAAATTAATTTTTCAGTGGTAAACCGCACAATCATAAAAATCTTAGAAAATTAATTTAACTATTCTTAGAAAAATTACTTTTTTGCCGCTTAGCTAATTTCAATCTTAGAAATTGATGTATGTAATTTTTTGAACAAAATGCGTTCTAAAATGCTGTTATTATGTTAATAGATATTTCCGTTGAGGAAGTTTTAATAAATTTACAAGAGAAAAATATAAACTAGAACTGTGCGTAAATATGGTAATAGAACTGTTTATGTTGTTCTAAATGAGATAAACGAATTTAATTAAATCATTAATAAAAGTTTTAATGAAACAATAATTAGTTATTTTTTATAGAAGACGATAAAATGGTATTTTATCGTCGACCGAAAAGATTCGGGAGACGATAATGCAATTTGATCGTCGTGTATAAAACAATATTTTTCCCATAGCGAGTTACGTTTTAAAAAATATTCAGAAATTATTATTTCAAGGAATTTATTACGAGTAGAAAAAAAATTGTGCTGGGTTGGCGTTGGTTCCTATGTAATTTGACAAATAAATAAAGCTGTCTCTTTAGTTTTGTCAGTCAGTTTTGAGTCAATATTTTTTAATTCTCTTTCGTGTCGATTACTGATTGAATTGGAGCCAGAAATGGCTCAAAACAAAATAAGTAAATTACCAACTACCCCAGTGCAGTTATGACATTCACCATGTTGAAATTGCAAAAATTTTTAGAAAGCTGCGACCATTGAATATAGTTAGCTTTAGTAACCCTTATTAACATACTAAAAGTCCCCATTTGTTCGATGTGTGCGTCATCAAAAAAAATCGGCCGCCATCTTGAATTTTGGTACTTTTTGGGAAAAAATGTAAATAACTCGAAAACGGTTTGTTATAGCGAAAAACTGCAAGAGGTAAAAATTAAAGAGAATAAAAAACTTTATTAGAACCAATGAAATATAGTTTATTATCCTAACGCAATGACGTACAAAAAAAAATTGAAAATCGAGCAATTTTTAAAAGGAATCACCGAAATGCAAATTACTATTTTTTTAAGCTTATTAACAAATAACATGGATATTTAGCATCAATTGAACTGAAATATAATCCTTGTAACATTTTCAAGAAATATTTTTTATTGGTGGGTTAATAATATTTCAAAATTAACAAAAATTATAAAAGCTATCCTTTACTAAATACATGTGTACTAATAATGTGCGAAAGCAGTCTCCACCTTGTCCCGGTCGGGGCTATTTGCAATTAAACCAAGGTCCTATTGTTACCATTTTGTAAACAACTTGTTTTTAAAAATACAGTGACAGTTTGAAAAATTAGGCTGCAGGTTGGAAGAAAAAAATAAAATGTAATGTAAACTGGCGACTTTCAAAACGTTGCAAAAAGATCCTCATCTGCGACAAATTACATCCGCTTTTTTTATATCCTGCAGCACAAAAATCTGAGCTAGTCGAAGCTGGAAGTACATTCTTATTTTCATTATATATGGTCGACATAGGCTAGCAAAAGGTTTAGATCAGTTGAGGTATTTTAAATATAAAGCCCTTACATCGTCAGGTACTTATAGTAAAAATTTTGATTTAGCTACCTTACCTCCAACAACTAACGCAGCTGAAAATCATTATTATAGGACCTATTTATAAATACCGTATTGGCTAAATAACGGAGAAGAGGAAACAGAATGTGCATGGATGGAGTAAAAAAACGGATACCTTAGTCCCAACAACAATGTCAAACGCAGTGGCACCAGAATTTGTATTGAAAATGATTCACTGTAATTGCAAATCTGGATGTAATAAAATATGTACTATTGCGATAAAAAAAAGTAGTACAAGAATTAGTAGTCCCAGATGGGGGGGTCCTGCCACACTAGTCCCTGCTTTCGCACATTATTAGTAGGTTACAAGTTGGTAACACATTTTTATTAACCCTAGAATACTAACCATCGTAAATTTTACGACGATACTTAATTTCGACCACGATTTTATCGTCGCGGTAGACCCCTTTCCGTTGTGCGCTCTTCTAGTCTTCTACTATATCAGTGTGCGTAGGTTGGTGGTCCAGTGTGCATAGTATGGTGATCGGAAGAGTGTTAATTCAGCAGCGACGTCGTAGTTTTTACGAAGGTTAGTATTAACGTTATATTTAATCATATGCCCTTGTTTGAATATTTTTCTTCAATATTGCTAGATTCTACTTTTTTTCAGAATATATCATTCTATCATTGACTGAAAGAGAACTACTGTTAGAAGCCCAAAAAGGCTTAGAAGGGTTATTGCCGGGTGAAAATGATGATAATTGTGATGAGACAGAAAGCGGTTCCGAGAGTGAAGATAACGTTCAAGAAGCCTTTAGTCCATCTGAGTCTGAATTTGAGCCGACAACTAGCAGTGACACTGATTCAGAATATGACTTACCATCTACAAGTAAGAAAAGAAAAAAGGCATCCAAAGTAAGCAATTTATCTTGTATTGCAGTCAATCCTGAGGATGATACGGTGTCAGATAATCAGGAAGAAAATGAAGATGCAACACAGGATATTATAACAATAGGAAGTACCGCAGATAAACCTGTAAAGCGGCTACGCCTTCCCGCAAGTCTAAAAGGTAAAAACGGACACAGGTGGTCATCCGAGCCAAAAGCACCGAGAAGAACTCCCAAACGCAATATTGTACACATCATGCAAGGTCCCACTAATGCTGTCAAAGAAGCATTTACTCCTTTAGACGTTTTTCATTGTTTTCTAACTCCGAATTCTCTTCAAAAAATTGTTAATTATACAAATGCTGAGATATTCATTCGAGCTCAAAAATATAAGACAAGTAAGTACACTAACTCAGACGTAAAACAGGAAGAATTGCATGCCTTATTGGGACTTTTAATATTCGCGGCCTCTCAAAAGGATAATCACTTGGCAACGAGAGAAATGTTCAACGAAAAGCTTTCAGGTTCAATATATAAAGCAACAATGAGCCGTGACAGGTTTGAGTTTCTCATAGAGTGTCTTCGATTTGATGATAAAGCCACTCGGTCAGAAAGGAAAAAATCTGATTCATTAGCGGCAATACGAGAAATATGGGGCGACTTAATGGATAAATGCAGAAAATCGTATAAACCGGGATCCTACCTTACAATCGACGAACAGCTGCTGGCTTTCAGGGGAAGATGTCCCTTTAGGATGTACATCCCAAATAAGCCAGCTAAATATGGACTAAAAATTGTTATGATGTGTGATGTCGGTACTAAATACATGTATGATGCCGATCCGTATTTGGGCAAAGGGACTAAAACAAATGGCCAACCACTGGGAGAATTTTATGTTAAAAAATTGACCCAAGCAGTACATGGTAGCAACCGGAATATAACAACCGATAATTGGTTCACTTCGGTACCCCTGGCTACAGACCTTCTAAAAGCCCCTTACAATTTAACCTTAGTAGGAACCCTAAGACAGAATAAAAAAGAGATTCCTCCAGAACTATTGAACCTGAAAAATCGAGAAATTGGGAGTTCACTCTTTTGTTTCGACGGTGAAAAAACTCTGGTTTCATATAAAACCAAAACAAACAAATCCGTTCTTCTTCTCTCAACATTGCATGATGGTCCAATACTTTGTGATAAGACTGGAAAACCTGACATTATCACGTTTTATAATGCAACCAAATATGGTGTAGATACATTTGACCAGATGTGCGGGAACATGAACGTATCAAGGAAAACAAGGAGATGGCCGCTTTGTCTCTTCTACGGTATGATTAATATAGCCTGTATTAATTCATGGATTGTTTATAATCATAACCAACGAAGAAAGGGATTAGAAACAACTCGAGAAAAAATTTATGTGTTTATTATCAGAGCAACTAATAAAACCATGGTTGGAGCAGCGGAAAACTTGGCCAACTTTAACCCGCTCGCTAAGACTGATAATCGAAAATATTTTAAATTCAGATGGACCACAGGAAAGAGCAACTCCTATTGAAAACAAACGTGCGATGTGTCAATTCTGTCCTTCAAAAAACGCAGAATGACGACCAACTATTGTAAGCACTGTCAACGGCCTATTTGTGGAGAACACCGTGCTTTTTGTTGTGTTTCTTGTTCTTCAAAAATGTAATTTTTTTGTTTCTTTTTTAATGTTCGTAATTATAAATATCAAATGAATTAATCAATGTGCAGTTACAGTTAATAAATATTAAAAATGTTTTCTGTAAATCGTGTTCTTTTTTAAAGTCGTAAATTTTACGAAGGTTAGTATTAATAGGCAGCCAAATAAGGTTAGTATTCTAGGGTTAATATGGTCATAATTTGAATTATTTTTATTCGATTTGTAGGGGTATGTTCATAATGTATTTATCATAATGAAAAAGTGTTAAGATCTTAGGTTAAGACCGTAGATGATATTTATGTCAAAAAGACATTCGCAAGTAGTTTATTACATTTTATTTTTTTCTTCCAACATGTAGCCTAATTTTTCAAACTGTCACTGTATTTTTAAAAATAAGTTGTTACAAAATGGTAACAATAGGACCTTGATTTAAGTGCAAATAGCCCCGACCGGGACAAGGTGGAGGCTGCTTTCGCACATTATTAGTACACATGTATTTAGTAAAGGATAGCTTTGACAATTTTTGTTAATTTTGAAATATTATTAAACCACCAATAAATATTTCTTGAAAATGTCACAAGGACTGTATTTTAGTTGAATTGATGCTAAATATCCATGTTATTTGTTAATAAGCTTAAAAAAATAGTAATTTGCATTTCGGTGATTTCTTTTAAAAATTGCTCGATTTTCAAAAAAATTTTGTACGTCACTGCGTTCGGATAATAAACTATTCTTTATTGATTCTCATAGAGTTTTTTATTCTCTTTAATTTTTACCTCTTGAAGTTTTTCGCTATAACGCACCGTTTTCGAGTTATTTACATTTTTTCCCAAAAAGTACCAAAATTCAAGATGGCGGCCGATTTTTTTTAATGACGCACACATCGGACAAATGGGGACTTTTAGTATGTTAATAAGGGTTACTAAGGCTAACTATTTTCAATGGTCGCAGCTTTCTAAAAATTTTTGCAAATTCAAAATTATTTGCACTGACCTAAACAGATATTCAGGCTGAGGCGACAAACGCCATATTATCCAAACTACATCCATTTAAATCCCGAATAACTTATGAAAAGGAATACAAAAATTTTCAAAAATGGAAGCAATTAAAAAACGTGCGAGAAGAAATAAAGTTTTTAACCTATCCTCGATGTTAAAGTACCGTATGATCGAATAAAAACGGCGTCAGCGATGGCTATGAAATGAAGATCGCTGTCATTTTATATGTAAAATTATATGGGAAATGTCATCGATCGTCATTTCATAGCCATCGCTGACGCCGTTTTTATTCGATCATACGGTACTATTTTATCTACTATTTTTGATAGATATAAGGCAATTTTAACAGTTGCTATGGAAAAAAGAATATTTAAAAATATTTAAATAAAACTATAATTTTGATAAAGTAAGAGAAAAAAATCCATTAAAATATTAATTTATAATAAAATATAAAAAATTTTGATATACAGGGTGTTCCAATATTCCGTGGACATACCACTACTAACGTATTTTCGAAATCAAAATAAGATCATTGGACACAATTTACGGTAATTTACCTCTATACAAAAGTTTGTCCGCCAAAAGGTATAAAACTAAAAAATAGTAAACCCATTTTTTCAGATATCTTAAGAATAGTTATTCCAAGATTTGAATGAAATTTTGGGTGTCTATGTAAAATGATAGTTCTAGTATTTACGACATTTTTTGTCTCTTGTAAAAAAACGTCACAGTGCATACTTTTTAGGGAAAAAAATTATTTTTCCAAAGCTGACTTTCAAAAAATGTGTTTTTGTCACATCAAGCTATGGAGGCGCATAAAATCTATTATAATATGCTCTCATAATCTAGTTGGGGCGAAAATAGGGAATTTTATGTCAGTATCATAAATTATATTTGACAATAAGCTTCATAACAAGCTTAAAAAAATAATAAATTTTAAATTAATTACGGTTCGGGTTTATTTTTGATTGATGCCTTCTAATCGACAAACAAAGCATTTTTGTATAAAGCTAAAATTATGTGCAATTAACTTATTTTGATTCAAAAAATACGTAGTTGTTCTATGTCCACAGAATATTGGAAGTCCCTGTATATTTTGTAGGTGTCTCGATATACAGGGTGTTTCAAAACAAATGCGAAAAACTTCAGGGGATGATTCCTTGTTCAAAATAAAGGGTAGTTTGCTTCATAAACGTTGGGTCAAAAGTCAACCATTAGGGAGATATTGCGGTACAAAGATGGCGGAAAAATAATGTTTTTATTTTTTATCTTGAAAACGAAAAGAGATAGACTAATAAAATTTTATGGAAGCATTACTGTTATGAAAACACACTTTCTGGTAATTTTTTCACTTTTTTAAAATGAGTGGCAGGGGTTGAAATAAACTACCCCTATCATTCTTGTTAACGAAATTTAAAGAAAAATCTTATCAAATACATGCAAAAAAATTAATTTGGATAGTTTAGTTTGTTTAGAAACTTTTTTATCTCTTGTATTTTTTTGATAAAACTCACCAATTTGAAATTAAAATATAAAATGTAAAGCATTACATGTCAGGACAAAAAACATTTTCTGATAAAGAATCTAGTGGGCTGCTGTAATTTTTTTAGGAAAAAATCTAGTCGGCCGCTGTTACTTTTTAGGATGTTCCTAATATTATTTTATTTGACATTACTCTACTGCAATACCTTATTATCTAGATGATTATTTTATCGTTATTATCACTAGATTCTTAATCTAAAAATGTTTTTTGTCCTGACATGTAATGCTTTACATTTTATTTTTTAATTTCCAATCGGTGAGTTTTATCAAAAAAACACAAGAGGTAAAAAGTTTCTAAACAAACTAAACTATCCAAATTAAAGCATTTGCATGTGTTTGATAAGATTTTTCTTTAAATTTCGTTAACAAGAATGATAGGGGTAGTTTATTTCAACCCCTTCCACTCATTTTAAAAAAAGTAAAAATTACCTGAAAGTGTGTTTTCATAACAGTAATGCTTCCATAAAATTTCATTAGTCTATCTCTTTTCGTTTTCAAGATAAAAAATAAAAACATTATTTTTCCGCCATCTTTGTACCGCGATATCTCCCTAATGGTTGACTTTTGACCCAACGTTTATAAAGCAAACTACCCTTTATTTTGAACAAGGAATCACCCCCTGTGGCAAGATCTGTGGCACCCGAGAATCTGGCCATTAGTTTTTGGTGGAGGTGGGGGGGTTAAACATTTTAAAAAATCGTAACTCCAAAATTACAGTAGCTAGCGAAACGCGGTTTTCAATTTAAGATTAGGAATAATATTTGCAACAAAATTTGTAATAACATCAAAATCAGTCAAAGTTGCAGTTTTTGAGCTAAAAAAAATTGGAAAAATTGCTTTACTTTGAAACTAAAAGAACTGCCTACCAACTTTTTATTAACATATTTTAGTATGGGTATTTTTTTTAAATCTTTTTATATTATTTGGAACTTTTAAAATCGTTTGAAAAATTCTTTGTGGCGTTTGAAAAAAAATAGCATGTTCTATTCGGAGTAAAAATGACTTTTTTTGTGAATCGCCTGTACGTCAAACGTACAGCCTCGCCACACAATTTGTCATTTTTATTCCCAATAAAACAATAAACTATTTTTAAAATAAAGTGATTTTATTTGATTTTTTTTGCCCGATAATTTCGTTTTTCTTTTTTACACAATTTCTCTAAAAATTGTGTTTATAAAAAAATAATGAAATATTTTAATAGTAAGTATAATGAGTATTTTTTTGTATTTTATTATAATGAAATTAATTAATAAAATACTGACCGGAAGTGGTGGAAATTGGAACCCATTCCGGATGTCCGGTGTTCGGAAATGATGGTCGCCCCCACGCATCTTCCGGAACAACTGATGTCCAGCATTCGACTCCGGGGATGTTGTTGCCATGTTGCTACGGTCCCGGAATCTTTGTAATTCGGTTAGAATAGGTTTCACATCAGAGAGGGATTCGAATAAATTTTTGAATTTCTTTTAAAATATTACTACTGTAGTCACTACGGTATACAGGTTTTTGGGAGATATTTAGTCCGATACCTGCAGTAAAGAACTCCATTGAATATCGTGTAAAACTTGGAAAATAAATTCGTAATAGGAATACTTTTATTGCTCACTATTATAATAAAAAATACGCGTTCTTTTTGAAAACCGTCGATTACTTATTAGCAACTAAATGGATATTTGAGGTGAATTTGCATTGTGAGACCTGGTTGAGTAAGCTCAGGAAATATACAGAGTTTTCTTTAATGACATGCTAATATTTAAGGGGGTGATTCTTGGACATACTATAAGAAAAGAACTTCATATGTATACAGAGTGGCCCGAACTGTAATCCGGAAACTTCGGCAGCATATTCTGCACATAAAAATAAGTAAAAAAGTTCGTATAAATGTATGTATCTTGGTAAAAATCGCTACGAATAATGGTTTTCGAGATATTTAGAATGGAAGTTTCCGGAATACAGTTCGGACCACCCTGTATATGTCCTAAACATCTTAACTTTTCAGATACAGGGTGGTAAAATCGTCTAATTTTTTTTTTCAAAATATCTCTAATGTTATATTTGATACAATTATGATACAACAAAAAAAAATGATTTGATACCATACAAATTGTTTTATTTCTTAATTTTCTTCAAATCGATGCAGAAATGATTTCCACACAACTGTCACCGCATCAGATTTTCAGCGATTTCACCATGAAGTAAAATGACTTTAATTTTTTTTAGATAAAAACCTAAAAACTATACGTCGGACGAAAAAAATCAAGAGGTAAAAAAATATTTAGAAATGAATGGAGATTTTTAAAATAATTTTTATTTTAAGAGAAGTCAGTGGTGTACCACTTTTTTCTCCAAAAATATTTAATATAAAACCTGTATGAACGGCACTGGATGAAAGAAATAAAATTCTTTGTACACTAAAAAATTTATTTTGATGCATTGAAGATGTATCGATTTTCATAAAGATGTCTGTATAAAATCAGAGTAATTACGAAAAGAAGTTTTTTTAGAAAATTTTACCACACTGTATCTTAGAAATTAAGATGTTTCGGACATGCATTCATATAAAGTTTTTCTCTTAGAATAGGTTCTAGAATCACCCCCTTAAATATTAGCATGTCATTAAGGAACACCCTGTATTGGAGTTCTGGTAAAGCTTGTGATACACCGCAAGGGTTAGTCGGTCCACTTCTACAGTATCCCGCATGTAGAAGTAAGGGAGACGAGGATACAATGGGTTGTCCTCTGGTTCCCCAATGTTAAAACCAGTAGATAACTTTTAATAACTTTTCAAAGTTTAATGGTGTATTACATACTAGACTATACAGGGTGTCCCAGAAATAAGTGCAAGTATTTTAAGGGGTTGTAGATCTCGATAATAAAAACATATCTTCTCGCTATCGTTTTTCAAATAAGTCCAAAATAACGGAGTTATTTTACTTTGAAAATTTCCAAAAAAAATTTTTTTTTGCTAAAATTTTGAGAACCACTGGATCTTTTCTGGATTTTCTTTTTTGTAAATTTAATTTAATACCCATGTTGCCATATTATCAAGAAATTATGTTTTTTAACTAAAAACTAAAAAAAAAAACAAAAAATTTTTAAAAAATTTCGAATTTCATTTTTTTTTTCGCGAGAAAAACCACATAGGCGTGTTTCTGCGGTTGAACTATACTACCAGTTAAAATAGTTGCACTTATTTCTGGGACACCCTGTATAGGGTAAATTAAAATTAAAGTAGCTTCTATTGAAATTTAACATTTTTTGATAATTAAGCACTCAAAAATCATTTGGTACGGTCCTGTAATCCCTAATTAGTCGGTAATTAAATCTGATGCGCGTGCAGCAAATAATTGTTTTGAAATTTGCCGGCCGATCCGCACCGATCGAGGAATCTATCGATTTTACATACAGTATACACCAGCCAATCTGTACCTACACATACAGAACATGCAAATTTAGCTAATTTGCATATTACATGCATTACAAATAAATTTAAAAATTCAACACATCCACACTATACAAAAAAAAATCCCATTAAAAAGTATTTAAAAAATTTAAATCATTTTTTAAATAACATAATTAATAATAGAGTACCGATAAATAATGATAAATCTCTATAAAGAGTCTGAATTTTACGAGAAAAAATTTTTCATTTGTAGATAGTACAGATTTATAATTAATATTACTATTTTATAATAAAAAAAAACATAAGTAATTTCTCATAAATTTAAAAACCAGAAAATTTTAGTATTAGTGACATCTAGTAAGAAGTAGTCTAACTAAATATGAATTCTATACAGAATACTGTTTAAGTTTATATTTTCAAACGATAGGTGGATGCCAGCTGTATTGTATATTTGGTTGCAGGTATCTTTAATTTAAATTTAAATTAGGCGGGATCTATTTTTTTAAATTTAAAAATGGTAAGTAATTATTATCAACACTAATTTTTTATATTTTCTATGATTTCTATTCTCTTTAAGCATAATTAGGCGATTTTCTGTTAAATTTTTATAATGTAATTTGCTTTAATAATTGATTATTATAATTAATACAGCGTTCAATGATGTAAGAAAATAAAGGTGAGCATTAAAAAACGCTCTACGCTCTTTTAAAAAGTCAATGTTTTGTTTTTATTTATATCGGCGCATTTTAAATTGACTGCAGTGTGTCTTGTGACGACTTTCTATCTCTTTTCCCTCCGATTTTCTATAGCTACTTTTACTGCGCAATCTCCCCCAATAAAAGCCTACGAAAATCAAACCAAAACAGTTCCTCGTCTTTCCCCTCTGCCAGAGTTTCCATTAGCGTTGCTAGCATCTTTTTTACAGCGCTGCCGTGTCTAATAGATTTTCTTTAGATCGGAAGAATTTTAATACTTTTTAAGAAATACAAATTTTGCAAATTGTGTTCGAGATCATTACATATAAATGTGACGCGCTTTTTGTAATTGAAAAAAAATTACATTATACATACAGGGTGTTCCTTAATGATATACTAATATTTAAGAGGGTGATTCTTGGGCCTATTCTAAGAGAAAAAGTTCATATAAATGCAGCGGCGTGCGGTCCATGGAAGCACCGCTTCCCTAAACTTTTTAAAGATAAAAAGAAATAAATAGTTAAAAATAATACTGTTATTTTATAACAAAAGATTAATTTAATTTGTTAAAATTATTTATTTGAAACCTTACATAAACATATCTAGTAAATTTAATTAGCCTTTTACTGCATGGATGCGCGCCTGGGAATCGCCGCCGGTCGCCTATCCCTCCTTCATGTAGGTGTTATTGACCTCGAACGCAAACGGCAAATTTAAGCCGAAATATCGCGCACAGTTGCTAGCCACGGCAGCGATCTTTCGGCCGCCTTCCTTGACTTTTAATTTATCGGGACGGGTTCGCTTGCGATTTTATAGGTAATATTAAAATAAATTAAATCCAAAATTTTATGATGATGTTATAGACAAATTTGCAATGGCTGATAGACGAATAGACCTCAAATACAAATAGGTGCCTATCGCGCGTCAAGTGCTTCGGAAAATTAATTTAAAATATCGTATTTTAACTATTATAACTTTATGTGTTTTTGTTTGTTTAACAATTTTCGATAGAATTTTAATGGAACAATGGAATTGGCCTCGGAATTTTCAAAGGTAAGTTTTTTAAGAAAATGTAAAAGTAATGTCTCGAAATAGGGTTTTTTACCGATTCGCTTCCCCGCCTATAATTGTCACCGCACGCCGCTGTATAAATGTATGTCCTAAACATTTTAATTTTTGAGATACAGTGTGGTAAAATTTTGTAACAAAACTTTTTTTTATAATAACTTTGATTTTGTTATAGATATCTTTATGAAACTTGATACACGTCTTCTATGCATCAATATACCTGTTTTTGGTGTACAATTTTTTTTATTTATTTTAACCAGTGCCGTCGTACGGGTTTTACATTGAATATTTTTGGAGAAAAAAGTAGTACACCACTGACTTCTCTTAAAATAAAAGTTATTTTCAAAATCTTCATTCATTTCTTATCTCTTGATTTTTTTCGTCCGATGCATAGTTTTTGCTTAAAAAAATAAAGTCAGTTTTGCTTCACGATGTGGAAATCATTTTTGCATCGGCTGAAAGGAACTTAAGAAATAAAACAATGTTATTGTATGTCAAAATAAGCACTTTGATGCATGCAAGACGTGTATTAAATATAACATCAGAGATATTTTGAAAAAAAAAATAGAAAATTTTACCACCCTGTATCTCAAAAGTTAAGATATTTAGGACATCTATTCATATGAAGTTTGTTTCTTAGAATAGGTCCAAAAATCACCCTCTTAAATATTAGCATGTCATTAAGGAACACCCTGTATATTTTAATTGATCAATTACACTGGTAACAATTTCGATTCTGGTGTTATTAGTCCTTGTTTTCTTTAATCATTGAATACGTCCCTACGACATATTTTTTAGGGAAAAACGAATTCGAGGACGTGACAACGTCGCACACCGCTCGCTCTCCTGCTTCGCCGATTCGCGGACGGCACGCCATCTCTGCTTCAGTCGATTTTCGAACTTCGTCCAATTCGCTAACTTCGTGGTGTATCGAGCCGGCGACCGACATCGCCCGCCCGCGTCGTGACGTCACAGACCATGCGGGACCTGGCCGCCAAAATGGCCGAATTAAAGTTTGAGGCGCCCCTGGCGCAGTTCGAGGACGGGGGTGACGAATGGGGCTCGGGGGAGTTCCAGTCGTACAAGAACAACGAGCACGACATCATGAACAGCAACAAGAAGCTGAAGGACCTGAACCAGGTAAGGCTTTAAGGGTGGAAATCGCCCTTGTTGATGACATAGGGTCGGCAGCTGATGGCGTAGGGTTGTGAGGTGCTATAAAGTAGGAGGAAGGTGATTTTGGGGGTGTAGGTGTTTGTTTTGTTGATGATGATAAGGTTTTAAAAAAATGATTTTCTTTATTTTTATTAAAACAACCTCTAAATATGGATAGTTTTTTTTAAATTACTTTGGTGATTATCTTACAAAGAGGCAGTTGTATAATTCCATTTTTGTTGTATGTCAGTATATTCGTAATTTTCTCAAATTATTTGGATTATACTAGCTAATAATTCTCCAATGTTTTGGTCTAGTATTAATTTCTCTTAAGTGGCTATTTAATTTGCAATTGATTGACTTCACACATCTTGCTATTATAAGGATCTGGAAACAAAAAAGAATCTCAGTTACTATTATAGTTTATTAAACCAAATAATGGGATAGACGGTGCTCATCCATTGGCGATATATTTAGACCATTTTATACCTCACATTTTCAAAACTTCGAATTTCTGATTTATGAAAATTAAGGTTTTAGTGTTTTATCAATATGCTATGCATCCTTAACATTAAGATTGTTAGACAAGAATGGCTAAAAACCATCAATATTTTCCTAAACAACTTTCAAACATATTCTGCGTACCTAGGTTTTTTATTAATATTTTCACCAAGATGAATTTCTAGTATTTCTAAAGTTTCTTAAAAACTCGTTTATAGTGTTTCTAAGAAAACGACATTTTTCTTTAAAATACCGTATGATCGAAAAAGACGGCGTCCAGTTGGCTTGAAAATATCGATTGATGATATTTCTCATATAATTTTACGTACAAATTGACAACGATCTTCATTTCCAAACCACCTCTGACGCCGTTTTTTTTTCGGTCGTATAGTACCTACTAATAGATTCAAATATCGTTTAAAGATTTGTTTCAGGCTTTTGTTGCATTCATTTCTTTGTAATGTTTATACTCCCAATTGATATTTTGCTTCGGTATTATTATTATTTAAGCTAGTGTATACCGTATGATCGAATAAAAACGGCGTCAACTATGGCTAGGAAATGACTATCGATGACATTTCCCACATAATTTTACATATAAAATGACAGCGATCTTCATTTCATAGCCATCGCTGACGGCGTTTTTATTCGATCATACAGTATTAGTTGTTAGTTTGCTTAACTGGATACAGTTCTGTGATACAGTTATTGCACTCAAAAAATTATCACCAACCTCTAAAAATATATTTCTTGTAACAACCTAAATTCCATCTGTTGATTTTTTAAATCAATAATTTTCTTTTTTTTTTGCTAGTTTATTAACTCTACAAACAAAAATCAAAGCTCGTCATCCTGTGTTTAGGTCTGTCAAATGTTGACTGACATTTCATTATTCCTTTTTTGAATTTTAGGTACCTATAATTCTGTAAACTTTGCCTATACCAAAGTTTATAGTCGCCTATACTCTGTACCTAATCTTTATTGAAGAGCATATTGCATCTAAACTCTAATATAATTTATTTCGATTTGACATAACCCAAACTGCCTTGCAAAGGAGAAAATTGTTATTACTTCTAATAAAAAATTTTCTTTTGTTAATTGACATTTAAAATGATTATCTAACTTTGAAAAGCTTGAATAGAACGCAAATAATGAAAACTGGCCAAGATAATTCTTCTTGTACTGGGTGTTTCTGAAACGAATTAAGAAAAAAAGGTCAAATAAACAAGTAGATTCGCTATGTCCATAAAAGAATCGTTTTCAGTAACCTGTGCGTAGGATATTGAAAGGCCGCACTTTTGTGACGAAACCTTCTCAAGATTTCTTGCTTTTTATCATGCATATTTATTTTTCTCTTTTTTTTGTTGGATGTGTTACATACCGCAGCATCAATTCATTGCCTTATTTAAAAAACTGTGTTAATTGAGCTGTTATATAATATTGAGCTGTTATATATAAATAATATCTATTAGCGTCTTAAAATGTTTAATGTATTAGGCACATTACTTCAGATTTTTTTAGACTGATTCAGAGAAAAAAACCTTACTTATTTTTTTTTTCTTGTATAAAAAGTCTTTAACTAAAACTAGCAAACGTGTTTTTTTTACAAACGTCACATTAGTATTAATTTTTGACGTGATTGACAATATAAAAAGTGATTTTAACGCCTAGGCATAAAAGTAAAGCAATTTTACGCCTAAACCACAAATTAACTATAACAGATGCGAAAGAACACCGAATTCCGCGTTCAGGTTTCTGTGACCTTCAGAAAGAGTTCATAGACAGTCCGCATCAATGTATAGTTTGGGTGAAAATAATCTGCACCAATATGTTATCGAGGCATATAATCTCACAGTAATTTAATAGATTACTCGTCATATTATATCAGTTCGTAGGAGATTAGGAAAAAAAAGATATTTATAGTATAAAAAATTAATTTATTTAACAAAATTTAATTAAAGATGTGACAAAATAGTTACTTTTCTATTGGTTCTATCGGATTTTTTTTCGACTATATAAATCTTTATTTGTAAACTTTAATGCATAAAGTATTTTCAATCTAATAAATAATTTAATTATGTAAATAAGAGGAAATTTCTCACATGGTTGGTCAAATTCTATAGTTTTCATTATATCAAACAGCCTCTGAATGTTTTCTTCAGTGCAAAACTCATCAAAATTTAATATAAATAATTTTTCCAGCCTGTAAATAAAATGAACAAATTTTTCCACTTTCATGATCAATGGGTAAATAATTTCGAGTTATCCAGAGATTCGGATTCTTTTGCAAATTTTAGACAAATATCACATTGATGTATTTGAAGACCCTTTTTAATGATGTAGTCAAACATAATTAAAGGCATTTTGAGTTGAAAACATTTCTCAGAGGCTGTTTGATATAATGAAAACTATAGAATTTGACCACCCATGTGAGAAATTTCCTCTTATTTACATCATTAAATGATTTATTAGATTGAAAATATTTGATGTATTAAAGTTTACAAATGAAGATTTATATAGTCGAAAAAAGTCCAATAGAACCAATAGAAAGGTAACTATTTTGTCACATTGTTAATTAAATTTTGTTAAATAAATTAATTTTTTATACTATAAATATCTTATTTTTCCTTATAAATAAACACATTTGTATCCCATTTTAAATAAGATATACAAATTACCAAAACTTAGAAATAACAGTTCAAAAGTTCAACAAAAATCCTACACGCGTTTTTAAAAAGAAACATATAACCACGCACTATGTCACTCCAGCAAGCGAATACGACACAGCATGGGTTTCCGGACTAAACGACTGGTGTATTTACACCACTCAATAGGCGTGTCGGGTTTGCCGAACGGTTTCCGATGCAGTCGCTTTCTTTCGCATCTGTTATAGGTAATTTGTGCCTAAACCATGCCTAAACACAAAAGTACGAAAATATGTCACTAAACTGACATAAAGTGTCGAATTCAACGAGCGTAACCATAGTATCTCGATATATAATTACATACAAGGTATTACTTTTAAATCGTTTTATATTATTTGGAATGTTTGAAATTGTTTAAAAAATTATTTGTGACGTTTGAAAAAAAATAGCATGTTCTATTCGGAGTAAAAATTAAAAATGACTTTTTGTGGCTGGCCTGTAATGTCAAACGTACAGCCTCGCCACAAAAAGTGTCATTTTTACTTCTAGTAAAACAATATACTATTACCACTGTTTAAACCACTTTACGTTGAAAAATATTTAAGAAATTGTTAATCCTATATTTATTTATTTCTTTAAAAATATACTAGATGTCACAAGTTAGTTCCTAGTATTATTCCTCCTAAATTTTAAAATATTTTCGTGAATTTAAGCCTATTTATATGTTTAGATTCGAGGAAATGCGTTCACAGCCACAGCTGATTCTTTTTCGGGAAAAGATACATCGAAAACACTTTTCCTAAAATATCTATGACAGGAATTCATTCTTTACTTTTTCAAAGATTGAGTGTTTTGATTTAAGATGATATTAATACTCACGAAATTTTTGGCATCTGTCTGTATATTTGCTTCAGACTTTGAAAGACTTCAATCTTTCCCAGATTTCTTACATTTACATTGTTCCAAATACTATTATAAAGATAATTAAGGGTCTTGTGCAGAACAGGTCCCCACGAAATCGTGGTTTTTTTAATTTTTAATGTGGATCCCATAGTTAATGGAATGGTTTAAAAGAAAAAAATTGTTGGATGAACCACTTTTTCTACGAAAAAAAATAATTGAAAATTCCAAATTTTCACTACATTTCAATGCGAAAACTCCCTATTATAACCTTCATAAAGACAGTAAAATACAAGGTTATGCACAGTGTTGCCATACTCACCCTGAGTAAAATCGACGAAAACGTTCTACTTTATATTCATTTTTTTTACATTTAGTACGCACTTTAAGAACACGAAAAATTAAAAATATAATAAACGAGGCAAAACAAAAACACTATAAAAATAAATTGACAATAAAATCATTACACAGTATTTAGCACAATTGTTTAAAAATATATTTTTCCCGGATTCCGAAATCGATGTGATCTGCGTACTTCCAAACACTCCCCACCAACCTAACCTAACCAATGCATTAACACCCCCAAATAACCAGGCTAACCAATGCATTAACACCCTCCAAATAACCAGACTAACCAATGCATTACCACCCTCCAAATAACCAGAATATCTAACCTAACCTAACCAATGCATTAACACCCCCAAATAACCAGGCTAACCAATGCATTAACACCCTCCAAATCACCAGGCTAACCAATGCATTAACACCCTCCAAATAATCAGGCTAACCAATGCATTACCACCCTCCAAATAACCAGCCTATCAACCTAACCTAACCAATGCATTAACACCCCCAAATAACCAGGCTAACCAATGCATTAACACCCTCCAAATAACCATGCTAACCAATGCATTACCACCCTCCAAATAACCAGGCTAACCAATGCATTAACACCCCCAAATAACCAGGCTAACCAATGCATTAACACCCTCCAAATAACCAGGCTAACCAATGCATTACCACCCTCCAAATAACCAGGCTAACCATTGCATTAACACCCTCCAAATAACCAGGCTAACCAATGCATTACCACCTTCCAAATAACCAGGCTAACCTAATTGAGCCTAATGACAAAACTTCATTGATTACGCGTCGAAAAACAGTATATATTAAAAAAACTTATATTTTCGTAGAACCTGAAAAATCCGCAAATTTTATTTCAGAAATTGCTTTAAAATAATCCACACTAACGAATAAGCTACTAGACAGTTCAATTTTTGTTGCACTAAAGTGATAACTTACCGTTTTAAGTCCCTCCACAACAACTTTATTTCAGAAGAAAATCATATAAAGTAATTTTATTGACAACGTCGCAAATTCTATGCGAAGGCCATAGATGACATACCGATGATCGATTAACTGTCAATCGAAAAAGTCATAAAATTGCTAGCTTGAGCTGATGTAAATAAATATATTTTCTTAATTTTTATGCTTACAAAGAAGATTCGTTACATTTTTGTGCTTAAATTAGATCATTCCACGTCTATATAAGGTAATAAAGTACTAATATGTGATGTTTTTACTGAATCCGTGTAGAAAATTTAACATATTTACTGTCCGTCGCCTGTACCTAAAATACGTTTTTTTGCCGCTTTTTAAAGATAAAACACATTCATCCAACAATTTTTATGCTTAAAAATATTCAGTTTAAGATAATCTTGCAAAAAAATCCCAAAAAAGTGTTAAATGCGTGGGGACCTATTGTGCACCAGAGCCGATAATTAATTATTCCTTAATCCGTTTCAGGTTTTGAACGATCTGAACGAAGACCTCACCAACAACTCGAACATCGTCGAGCTGATCTCTCCAAAATCCAACGTCCAACTGAAAAATGAACAGAATGCTGCCCAGAACAACCCGACCACTGATACAATCAACAACCCATCCGATGATAACTTTACAGAAACTTTCTCTGGATCTCTGGAAGACCTGGTGAATACTTTCGACGAAAAAATTACGAAATGTTTCGGGAACTACGATGAATCAGTGGAGAAGTTGGCTCCTGTTCAAGTGAGGAGTCAGGAGGAGATCATGAATGAATGCCAGTAAGTGCATTAATAATATTAGAATATGATTAGTTCGTCTTGTGTATTCTTTAGGTCTCTAGCTATATTGATTCTTAAAGAACTTTTTTTATTGAGACATTTTTATGGAGGTTTTTTGTGGGTTAGATTCAGTGTTCCCAGAATTGAAGGATTTCCTTCAACATGAAGGATTTTACAGTCAAATTTTGTCGATTGAACGGCTGAATCTTTTAAGCATTTTGCGCAATAAAAATTGTTTCCAAAATTGTTGAAAAGAAATAAATAAGTAAACGGAAAACATATCTAATAAGTCTGATCATGTTTAATTGTTCTCAGTTTAAGCAGTTATTGTAAGCAAAGCATTTTTTGAAACAAACTTTATAAGGCTGCTGTCGAGCATTCTGTCACAGCATTTTTGATCGTGTCATTTTTTTTAATAAAAAGTTTATTTAAATACAGGGGTATCCAAAAATTACCAGAAATAAGCTTTTAAAAAATTTCTCCTAAATATAAAATAGATAAAATACCCGAAATTTCATGATTTTTAACAAGAGCTGGAATTTGTTGCAATGTTGAAGGAATATGAAGGTTTTTTAAAGTTCACTGAATTTTTTTTTAGAATTTAGAATGAGTGGGAGGGGGGTTAATCACTTCGACCTTACAGATCCATTGTGTCCCCCTTTCTTGAATCATAACTCATCATACAGTCCCAGGGCTTTGACAAAAGCCAGTATCTGGGACGGTTTTATAGAGGGTAGTTCTCCATCTCCAATATCAGTCGTACCAAAATTCATGGCACGAATGGTTGTCGTCTCGGCGCACTCAGTGATGAGGTGTACTGGTGTTTCCCCATCTTCCCCACAGAATCTGCATTCGCCGTTTCTTCTTAGTTTCAATCTACTGAGGTGTTCATTGAGGAGACAGTGTCCTGTTAAAAACCCCGTGACAATTCGAAGATTGTTCTAACTCAGACCCAGGAAGATCTGTGATTTTTCTTGATCATAAGCCCTCAGAAACTTCTTCGAGTGTCTTAGACCATTGCAAGATTTCCATTCCAGGTTGCGGATGGAATCTTCCAAGTTCTTGAGTTCCGCCTTGAGTTGGTTACCACTTGGAAAGCAGAACGGTTCTGGTCCAGTTAGTGGAGTGTTCGCTCCTTTCCTAGCTAGATTATTTGCTTTTTCATTGCCTTCTATCCCTTGGTGAGCAGGCACCCAGTGTAGGCGGACTTTGTTTTCTTTGCCTAATTTATTCAGCTTCTCTATGCATTCTTTGACCAATTTCGAATTGATTGATACTGAGTTGATCGCCTTTAACGCTGTTTGACTATCAGATAAGATGGCTATTTCTTGTTTCCGATAGTTCCTATCTAAGATAAGTTGTACGCATCTCTCGATAGCGTAGATTTCTGCCTGTAGGATACTAGGGTAAGTGCCCATTGGTTCGGAGTAATTAGCTCTCGGCCCAAACACTCCGATCCCTGTTCCCGTATTGATTTTGGAAGCATCAGTATACCAAGTTATGGTATGGTCTTTTAACTGCTGGGCAAGCGTTTCGCTCTTCCAATCCTTCTTATTGCTCAATACTACATTGACATGTTTGTCAAAGTTGTACGTTCTTGGCATATCGTCCACTGGGAGTTGCAGGAGTGTTATTTCCTTTTTGAGGGTGTTCCAAGCCCCTGATCTGACAATTCTCCCAGTACTAATTCCGTTAGTGACCATTCTAATCATTGTCGCATTGGCATATCTACCAATGACAATGTGCAGTGGTGTTAGATCTAGAATGACCTCCATTGCTGCTGTTGGACAGGTTCTCATGGCTCCTGTGATGCAAGTTCACTGAAGAAATTCGCTCGAAAATTTCTGGCAATACTGGTTAGATTGATAGATTTGATAAGACGAAGATTTTTTGATATAATATCATTTCATTCAACCAAGCAGTTATTAAATTCAACAAAGCAGTTATTTATAAGTAATTTGCATAAAAATTCATTATGGGAGACTGTACAGGGTGAGTCATAAATAAGTGCAAATATTTTCAGCGCTGGTAGATCTCGATAAAAGGAACATATTTTCCTTTTACGGTTTTTCAAATAAGTCCAAAATAACAGAGATTTTTTACCTTGCACGTTTAAAAAATTGGTTTTTGCTTACATTTTGAATTATGTTTTATGTTTTTTTAAGTAAAAATTTTAAAAAAATCCAATAATTTTTTCAAATAATTCTAAATTTTAAAAATTTCTTTTTCAAAAAAGATGATTGTTAGACAATTCTGTAAGATATTTTTATGGCTATAGTAGGATAAATAAATAAAAAAAATATTTAAATAGATATATTTCGTTTATATTTTGTAAAGTTTACCGAATTCATAAAATCGTTTTAAGAAGGAAAACCAAACAAAATCTGGAGAAAAACAAATAAACAACAACGCGGGGAATTTAACCTTAACTATAAAATCGGTGTGTGAGAAGAAATATGTTACGTCTGTTGAAGGACGAGCATCTGTTCATTTGTATGCAGCTTTTTTTAAATTAAATCCCAAGTAGCTAAAGGAACATCGCATGTTTTATAATAGTTCTATAATGAATTTGTAAAATGTTTATAATTCATAGTCATTTATGAATATCTACAATTAATTATTGTAGAATAAAATCTAGTACTAAAATAAGTATTGCATTTGAGAGGTGAACAGCTTTTTATAATCTCTTTTAATAAATTGACAGAAATACAAAAATAATATTCATTAATTTATTTGATTACTGTCAACAAACTAATTGTTTAAATTAAACATGTTATAGTTCGATATCCGTTAAGTATAATATTTAATATTCAAACGGTATCATTATTTGAGCCGTATCATAATTTGAAGTATATTTTAATGACCTAGAGTCCTGGGGTCATCAACTTATGCAAATATTTGTGTCAACCGGTCAAAATATTAACCATATCGCAACAGAGCAGGCTGATAGTACGAACATTGCAAATATTTTGTTTGTTCAGCTGAAAATACAATATTAAAACATATTTTTATTAAGTAGGTATATTACTATTTATTAAAGTGTACTAATTCTTCATATTCTAGATCTAGATATTGCTTAGAGAGGTTTATCACCAAAACACTAGACAATGTATTTCACAAATTAGTTTTGATAAATCTAATATTATTTGACTCTTTCTTTACTCTTTTTATTTAATGATTAGTTTATTAACAAAGTACCGCCTATACAATCGAATTGACAGTTGTTATCATTTGATTTCTATGTTTACTTTACATTTTTACATATTTTTTCAATATCTTTCTAGGTTTGTATATGCCATTTTTCGTTGAATTTCTATTCTACAGGGTGTCCCAGAAATAAGTGCAAGTATTTTAACTGGTAGTATAGTTCAACCCCAGAAACTCGCCTATGAGGTTTTTACTCGCGAAAAAAAAATTAAAAATTTGAAATTTTTTGAAAAATTTTTGGATTTTTTTTTAGTTTTTAGTTAAAAAACATAATTTCTTTATAATATGGCAATATAGGTATTAGATTAAATTTACAAGAAAGAAACCCCAGAAAAGATCCAGTGGTTCCCAAAATTTTAGCAAAAAATCTTTTTTTTTGGAAATTTTAATGTCACTGATTTGCAGTAGACATCAATAATTATTACAAACAAGCGATAATATATAAGCGTGCTTGACGTGAGCTGTCAATTGCGGAATTTAGCGGGGTTCCAAACCTAATTTAGTGAAAAATTAATTTGTGTATGTATTTTAACAACTATTCTGCTAATCGGGGCGGAGACGAATCCAACAAATCAGAGATCACTAAAATTTATCCAGCCGTTCTTTATTGTTTTATTTATTCAGATTTATTTATTTAATTATTCATAATGTTTTGCCATTACATAATAAATTAAGCGAAAATGTCAACAGTTGACATGCTATGTCATTCTATTCAGAGTGTCATTTTCTATCGAATGAAGTAAAAAAATACCGATACCATTTAAAAATCAAAAGTTGTAATCATTTCCAAACCTCGTTTTTTTGGTCTGCAAAAATAAAAAAAGTTATAGGTGTGAGCCACTTTTGAAACACAACCGTTATATGTATTGTCAAACTTTTCAATAAACATAAATTTCTTTATTATCATGCGAGAAACTTATCTTATACATCTGCAGGTGTGTGATATTTTCCTGAGAACTCGTACAAGGCTGAAAATATCAGATTTTACTGCAGTAAACATCTGCTTTTTTTCCTGAAAACACATCAAAACGTGATATCAACCAGTTTAAATACCATTGTATAATGTTATTTGTTTATGATATATTCCAAGTTTTGTGTCCTTTACACCATTATTACTGGTGCTAGTAATATGTAATAATATTTTCAGAGACAATAATAGGCCAAATAATTCGTGTTAGAAAATTACTGTGTTGTTTTATTAACAATAATTAAGTCTTGATATATTGCAAAATGGCGTTAAATCAAACGTCATTAAATTTTCGCTATAAATAAATAAGTTAATGGCAATATAACGTGCTATGGGTACGAAATAATAAAATCCATACAGGTGAATTAAAATTCCTTACAATAAATTTAGAGAAAGTAAATAGGTATCAGAAGGAAAAAGATATAAAAATTGTGTGTTTATATCAACGAGCATCCGTCATACTTAAGTAATATTAAATTATGTGAATGCGTAAAACTATAATTAGCATGGGGAGAATTAAAAAATAATTATATTTTTTGGATATTTTTGAATTTAAATTAAAACAACCGTTCAATTTCAATATTAAAAAAATGCTTATTTTTTGTGTATTTTATATTTCTAGCTAACCAGCCTAATTTTATACCGCCTGACAGTTGACCGAATGATCTGGAATGATTGAGACAAATCGATTTGACCGTTTTTGTCATTTGATTCAAGATTCAAGTATGTTTCATATATTTCAATATCTTTTTAGATTATTTGAATTTGCTATACCCTGTAGAATTCGCGCTACTGATTCCTATTTATAAAGTGACATATAGGAATA